TACCGCAGATTCTGCTACGTACTAAATAATTTTTCCTCGTCCACGCGAGTCTTCTGGATTTTGCCAAAGAAAGTCTTCCCATGTTGCGCGGTAGTGTCTGACTATATTTCCAGCTATTCTTGTTTCCGAGTGATCTACCGCAGATTCTGCTACGTACTAAATAATTTTTCCTCGTCCACGCGAGTCTTCTGGATTTTGCCAATTCCGGGTTTATAGCGCACCGACGAGAGAAGAACACTGTGGACTCTCTATTAAAATACATATTTATACATATTATATTAACATTACAAAAATGGAGGTGCTAGACGGATGTCAGCTCCAACATCGCACTTTTTTAAAATCTCTTGAAAATGATTCAACAATAGGCTTTTTCAATAGTTCTCGAGAAGTTCTACAGTTCCTGATAGGTTTCAACAATCGTTCTGCTACGCAACATCGGTAAAATATGTATTAAATATGCTTGTGGCATCGTACGCTTCAGTGCAGGCAGACATGAGTTGCTTGCTTTTGTCATATTAAACTTACCGAGCTTACACTGTGTGATCGAATTTAGGATTGCAAAAAAAAAAAGTATTTAGGCTATATCCGATGAGTTGTCTCGTTCTAAGTGTTGCTTTGGGAACCAGCGATAAGTAGCGGAGGACTCTGCCCGCCAGGCTACCCGTTCGTGATCACGTTCAGCTCGGCTACGACGGGATATCCATTATCGACGGAGGCGATGATCACAAAATTCTATTCCCGGACTCGCCGCTACGATTTAGCGCCATGTTTTTGGTATCGCCTAAAACCGTAGCGTTGTGCATCTCCCTGCTGATCTCTGGTAATTTTTATTATATTGACTGTTCTTCCTATGTAAGCATACATCATGCATACATATACATTCATACGTGGTGCACGTGGCTCAAATGAAATAGGATGTTGAATTGACATAACTGAGATAATGATTGTAGAAGTAAATATGTTGCTTTTGATTTTATAAATGCAATAGACATTGAACATAATTGTAAGGTAAGAAATTGGGTAATCATTCAAATAAATTCTATTTACCATGTAATTGCATCAGACTAGGTTTTATATTCCAAATATAAATTTATCCTCCTACAGCTTTGCATAAAACTTACTGTATTTATGAGAACAATATGCTTCTGTTCTGCCCAACCTGTGGGAATTTACTACGTGTAGAGAAAGGAATAACTGCATTGAGGTTCGCCTGCAATACATGTCCTTATGTTTTTAACATTGCTCGCAAAGTCAGCAGCCGAACATATCCTAAGCTAAAAGAAGTCGATGATGTTCTTGGTGGAAGTGCTGCGTGGGAGAATGTAGATTCAACAGAAGAGCGTTGTCCAAAGTGTTCTCATTCACGTGCATACTTTATGCAAATTCAAACCAGATCAGCAGATGAGCCAATGACAACATTCTACAAATGTTGCAATCCCCAGTGTGCACACAATTGGCGCGATTAAAGGTACTATCCAGTTTTTTGAAACTTGAAAAACAATTATGCAACATCCCGATATTATTACTTTCTAGCGTCCATTGAAGATTCATACAAGGAACATAATGAATCCCAATCATCAAGGTCCAACAAAATTTCTTCTAAATACGAGCAACATCGAAGTGAAGTTACTTAGTAAAACTAATAAACACTGGTTTTGTGGAGGTCCAAGAAGTATGGCAGCAGCTGTAAACTTACTCCTAAACGGAGAAGTCATAGCTCTGCCTACCGATACAATATATGGCTTTGCTGCACTAGCTCAAAACCAGGATGCCATAGAGAAACTGTATAAGATAAAAAAACGCGACGAAAGTAAGCCTTTGGCAATATGTGTATACAGTATCAAAGATGTTCATAATTGGGGAGTAGTAGATACTCTGCCGACACGTTTCCTAGAGGATCTTTTACCTGGACCTGTTACAGTTGTATTAAAACGAACAGCCAATTTGAATCCTGGTTTAAACCCAGGTATCGACAATGTCGGCATTAGAGTCCCAAATTCGAAGTTTATAAGGAATGTTGTAAAAATGATTAATCAGCCTTTGGCTTTGACTAGTGCGAACGAGAGTAATAAGCCGAGCTCGTTGCATCCTAAAGAGTTTGAGGAACTATGGCCACAGTTAGGAGGAATCTTTTATCCAATACAAGACGAACATGTTAAAAGAGATAGTAAGAGAGTAGGGTCAACGGTCGTAGACTTATCCATATATGGAAAATTTAAAATACTGCGTCCGGGCGTTGCACACAAATCTGTGGTGGGTGCTTTAAAAAATCGTCAATGGGTCCAGGAAGAAGATTCGCAGTAAGCCATTAGATTCGTAATCGATATGTAATATTGTCAATATTTGTGATAGGCAGAATCATTTCATTGTACCATTAAATTGTAATGAACAAATTACCACAGTATATCCTTGCCAGTTTTCCTGAAACGTACTCCAACTTGCAGGATCTCAGGTTTAGCATAACACGCAAACGCATACTAACGATATGGCTGGTGGCTATTTATTTTCATTGGACATATTTACGTGCGTATATATAGATATTATATATAGGCGAAAATAGCCATATTCGCGTGACGTGAGATAAGGAAATGCGTGTGGTCCATCGCTTTTTTTAAAAGCATTCCCAACTTATTATGAGGTACAATACTTCATCCCAGAGCCTTCTCATTTCGAGAAAGGATCTATCAAAAAATAAAAAAAAAAGTAGAAACAAAGAATAAAATAACAAAGAGAAAGAAAAAAAAACGTGTGGCAGTACCACATGAAGCGTCTTTATCGCACGCCACGACTTAATCGACGCGTAAACGTTTTCGCGCCGCGAAATCGTTCGATAACAATTCATGATGTTCATCATGTTATATCAAGACGAACATCGAAGGACCCTTAATAACCTACAAAGGTATGAGCCGCATAAAACTTTAAAGTAACAGCGTCCGCAACCTTAAGGTATTATCGGCATTGTTCAACGCATAACAATATAATTCATGAGTATATATATTTAGTGCCAGTGCACGATGCTAGTATTGTCTTCATGACGAGATACGTATCACAATAACAACGTTGCAAAATATCTAGAAAAAACTTACGCAGCTAAACTCTAATTACATGATTAAGTTCCAGATGAATCGCAAATCGTACAATTATATTATAAACATAATACTCCAGTCTAAATGTCCGGAAGATCATCCGGTTCGCGATTACCTCCCTAGTATTTCCTATACATACAGTCGATATGCATTAAAAATGCACGTTGCTTATTCACTGCGTCAATTTCTTATGAGAAAAACGTTAAACCTTTAAATTTTCTATGATACGACAATCCATTCTCACTGCTAACTTCAACAGGTTATACAAATTCGCAGAGAAGTTATCAAATAACAGGATCTATTCGGTTGCCTAACAGTGAATCATTAAAGACGCGTATGTTTTGGTAAAAACAGAAATTATAATTCTTAATATCTCATATAGCCGACTCACGCAGGCTACACGTTTTTAGAACTTGCAATTAAATTCTTCTCCAGCTCTAAAGACTAGTGTGTCAATCATTGATAACGTCTGCGAGACAACCAGGATCGCACGCATATTACGTTTCTAATGTGTTGCTCTAAGATCATTTACATATTATTACCCATTAAACACAATGGGAAATACATGAGCAGAGTGAAGTGCAACCTATAATCAGGGTGTCTCATTTTAAATGAATCATTAGAATATTTTAGGAACCAAGGGTATAATCGAAAATAGTTTCCCATAAAAGTGGCAAAACCTATAACACTTAGGGAAATCATCGCTCGACTAACTCAAAGATTAGAGGAATTTCAAAAAAAAGATGATTCTGTTTTCTAAAAAGAAAAGCATTTCTTGCTGAAACATCAGCATTCTAAATATTCCATTTTCTCTCATATCGTACCCATGTTTGCCCCTCGAAATCATGTCACTTTTATAGAAAATTTTTAAAACTCTTAAATCCTTGGTTCGTAAGATACTGTAACGAATCATTTAAGATTTGACACCCTGTAAACAGCTGCCATGGAATCATTTGGTACATAAGAGAAGAGGCTGAAATCTCGTAACGAAGATGTATCTTGCGAGGAAAAAGTGAGCATAGTGTGACTATTGCATATCTAACGTCGGTATGCGCGGAGCGTGATGCCAAAAAAGCAGTCTGAAGTCAAAAAACTGAAGTCGCGTGGATTGTAACACGACACGAAATATATTATCAAAGAAGCGATTCACACATTCGCGCAACGCATGCTCGCGTTTTCTTATCACAACAGTACCTCGCGAATCGTCCAAAGACGGCGAATGCTTTATACTTTTGATATAAATACTTATTAAAATAGTAGTTATATGATAATAAATAATCCTTAATAATAAACGACGACAATAACGATGTTTCCTTCGACATATTCATCATTTAACTGGCCTTGTGACACTTGCATGTTTCTCATTGAAAACACCAAAAGGCTTTTCCCTATCATTCTTTACCCTTTTGCTCCTGATAAATCTTTTTATTTTTTGGCAAACGGAGAAAATTATCAGGGATTCCAGGAGCCGTGTCGCAATACGCGTTTACGAACGGTCAATATTGTGAAAAGAAATTTCGAAAGAGTTAATAGCCATCTATACCGTTTAAAATTCCAATGCGTTAATCCATCGCGAGAATAAGCCTAATTTCTCGTGATACCGTAATTATCGTCATAGCGACAGATGCTAAACTTGTCGCTGAGCTTCCGCATCTCCATTAAACGATGTCTTTTTCATCTTATAATATAAATCAGTCTAATCTTCCTTCGTGGAGAACATAGCCGAGTTCCCCTTTTTCATAAATACACTCATAAGACTGCTACGCAATCTTGCGTATATCTCCTTGCGAACTGTCGCGGTGAATTTCGTCGCCAGACAGCCAATAGCGGCCGTTGCGAATATTAGATTGTAGAATAGCACCAGCTTGAAGTTACCGAGCCATTCGATGCGACCAAAGTCACCTAGCAGATCAAAGTTTGTCATACCTGTAAAAAAAATATGTATAATTACCCTATTAGTCAATCGCACGACCAGAGTAGCACAATGAATATACGTCATAGTCTAATACTTGCCTAATATGCGAGACAGCAATGGCAGAGCCGAGCTGAGTACAAGGAGAAGAGCACAATTTGCAATGAGATGAGTTAATGGAGTGGAATGAAGTCGAGGCCTGACTCTTCTGACACCAGGAAGTGTATATAGTCCAATGGCGCTGGTAGCAGCCAAATAGAGAATAACAGCCACTTCTACTGTGGCACCTATTGGGCCTAATTTAGAGAGGGAACTGATGCCCAGGGTAAATTGCTGAACAATAACAAAAAAGCAATAATCAAACGTCATATCTAATATTAATATAGGATAGTTCTCAAGAATACCAACCCTGGTGCTCAGTGGTAGTGCCTTAATTCCTATCAGTAATTCCAAAGTGTTCTGGACGGCCAATAAGGCCGTGGCCGTTGAGAGTATGAGTAGCGCCAGCATCGCCAAAGGGTACAGCAGCGTCCTGCGTACCCACCAGGTTCGCCTTTGTTCATCTAGGAGCTTCCGTCGTCGCTGGACATCTACTAATCTCAGGGCAAGGCCACGCTGTAACGCGCCATTCCTTAGGCACATCAGACCCGGATTCGGTCTTGGTATTTCCTCTTCGTCATCCACGACAGCTCCGCATGCTGGTGGAGACATCGGAGCTGGCGATACGTACGACTTGCCTGTCGCCTTCGCGTGTTCCAGTCTAAAATTAAAATGCGATATTATTGTCCAGTCAACGAAAGAAGATACTGTGGATATGTTTACCAAACGAAAAAGAAGGTTTTGGTGGTTAATAGTGCATTTAGAAATTCAATATCAATCTCATACATAATAATATCAAAGACAAGAAAGGATAAAAATCACTTTGTAATCCGATACGGTCATATGAATTATATTGTTGTTGTTTATCAGCAGCTTCAGAAGCATCACAATCTATTTATCATTAATAAATAAGCTCTACCTTCTCTTAATGCAATCCTCCTCTAGTCTATATGCGAAAAATTCTTCATCCAAATTCTTTAGAAACTGCGGCTTAACGAGGAACGAGCCAACAACGCCAAAGAGCCGGACAAATCCCACTGGGGTGCACACTGTTAATTGCATATCAATATTAATTAATTGCTCTTGATATCTTATCAATAATTACTCGAAAATACTTACATAACAACATCACGACCCCGACGAAGGAAACGCAGGAATACAAAAAGGGCAGGTAATAACTCCATAAATCTGTAAAATCGATTTAAATGAATTACATATAACAGATGAAACTTGTGAATGATATCCGTAAAACAACTCTAAATTTATTTTACACCCTATTTCATACCCAACCAACAGCTCATTAAGAAGCAAGTAACGTGTCTTAATTGCGGCTAATGCAGTTTCGTAATGCATCGACAATCGGCAATTACAGAGTCATTACAGTATACACGGAAGTAAAATGCGCAACGGTAGAATCAACCGTATGCGACTTTAAGGAAAGAACAATTTCGTGAATGTTACAATACACTGCGCTTGCATTACGTACAAGATACAGGAATGACGCTTGATGATAATTTTATAAATACAAAACTATATAAAACTGAGATACGAATCACGAAGGGATTTCATCAAGATAAGATGTCTCATTAAAGCCAACATTTACGTTCTTCGCATTCTCGTGCAAAGTACATTAAATTCAGTGACTTACTGAGCAACGTGTGGAGGCTTGACTTGTGATAGTCTATTAGTGACGATAGGACGTAAGTCATGCCCAAGACCAACGCCCCAAGTAGACAAAGAACCGTGACGGTCTCGTAGACCCTGGCCATCACACCCTGAAATCATTTCACGCTATTGTAGCATATACACATTGTAATTGTAACGACGTTTCACCTACCTTTTTGTGCCCAACGAATCCCTCGCTCTCCGTGAAGAGATATGCAAAAGGCAGGAACACGAAGAGGGATAAATTCGAGAAGAGGAACACATGATTCCAGAGACCTGAAGCATAGTAGGTGCATAGTCAGTGTAAAATTCAATGACAAAAAGGATTACAAATACAGATTAAAAAATGCTCACCCTGTATAAGAGAACTGTTGAGCCACTTGACGTAGTAGCTATTGGGGTACAGTATGAGGACCTCATTGCTCGCGATGGACACTGGTAACAGGAGTGTTGCCCCGACGGAAACGGTCAGGGCGACCGTACAGAGCCACAAGCTAATCCTGTAGACGGTAGCTTCATCCTCGTCCACGGAGAAGTAATCCTCTCGGTCCCTTCGTCGAAACCGTGCGATCAAAGCGTAGCTGGAGATGTACAGGAGGAGAAAGAGTAGGAGAAAAATCTGAAAGAGAATAACAAGCATAAGTGGACTTGGTACACATAATCCTTGGTACTGATTTGGTCAGTACTGATAATACGAAAATAAACTGGTTACTGCGGTAGTTCATCCTACTTGGGAAATCTGCCATACCATGTAAGCTAATATAAGAATTTTATACAATAATGTAAGCAGCAAGATTATCTGTCCCATAGTCATTGGATAAGTGACAGTAAAATTAATTTTGATCCTGCATCCTACTCAACTAAAATCTTCCTTTTTCATTGTACACAGCATCAAGATTGTCAGAGTCAGGTTGTACCGTTATAGTTAACTAATGTATAGATATACAGTAGATGTATTTAAGCTCTCAACGCGAATCCAATGGAAACGTAGCCCATTGGCAGCCTGGCAAAACTGCGTCAGATGTGGCGCAGAGTTTGGTACTAGTCTGACGATCATTTGTTGACACCGACCACGTAATACATTCTTGGCTTAGTTAGTTGACAGATCCTAACCCGCGTACTGCACCTTTACATTCTTGCATGACAATTCGCCTAGAGTCTAGTACCACTAACGATACGAGGTATCGCGAATTATTTTTAAAGTCGTATACCGACTGCTTTGTGATCTATTTGATCTTTGTAATTTAAAATTAAAATTTAACAAACAATGAAGCCCACAATCGGCCGGAATTAATATCTAGTGACCGACGTGGTCAACGATGTGATACCCTAGAAATGTTTACGTGCTGACTACTCCAACGTGATACTATATATATATAGCAGCACCGGGTTTTCAGACTATTTTTAGACTGCATTCGAGAAACGTGTCTTAAGGATCAGGGACCGATCATGTTTTAGCCGCTGCAAAGGATATAGCCCCTGGTCACGAAATTAGCATGGGTATTTACGTAAATTTATAATAGACTATACTGTACGGTTTTTTAGCATAGATATTACGTATACGAATAATCGTGCAGGCTCCGATTACACTTGACGTTTAGTTTTCACTGGCAACGGGCTTCTGTGTAATCCACCGTTTGCGAGGTTGCTGGGATTATGTGTCTTTTGCCAACGATAAAATGGAAATACGTCATTCAAACGTGATAGCCATATCGTTGTACTTATTTTTTTAAGTTAATGGTAGAAGGACATTGGCCTATTTTATCGTAAAATTAAGTGTCCCCCATCGAGGCTGTTAGATGATCAAATATTTAATTTCACCGAAAATTCTCTGGATAAATTTAAATTAGCTTCAAAGTCTCTACCTCGCTCGTGTATCTTATTGCAATAATAGCTTTGCTACAAGGTCGGTTAGATTATTGCGTGAATTGAAACATCCCAACAAAGCTATTAAGCTTATTTTTTAAAATAACGACCAAAACATCTCGCAGGCATCAACTTGGTGGCTGCTCAGCTTATCAGAAATAGTACAGTGCAGGTTGTCGAAAGTTATTTCCGCTCGCACGTTTCACGTAAAACAAAATCATACTCGGGTATTAATATTTCATGTTTCCGTAACCGTCATTCTGGAACATTGAATTCCAACGATGATACTGTACGCACGTGTTTCCAATAATCGTTAAACGGATAAGCAAAGATTGTCAAACGACTGTGAGCGATAACCAAGATAACTGGCTAATTAAGAAATTATCAACGATGTCTTTGTGACACGTAGCAGCAAATCAAACAATATAGAGCATTTACATAAATGACTCTTATTTTTAAGTAGAAAGAAGCTCTTGATAGTACTCGACAGCTTGTATAATTATTTATAATAGTCTGCAAAAACAATAACGCTCGCTACTACGTATACTGACAGCTGTTATCAACAAGACATTGGGATACGTGGTCTGCTAGCGTACACGTGTCTCAAAGAAATCAACGTCACAGAAAGATTCGAGGAATAAGGCGGAGAATAACACCGATAAGATCATTTCATTGTTCCTCGTTGAACAATGGCAAATTACACTGATGACAGCCAATAAGTAACATCCTTGTAGATGCGACATTGGTAATGCATGGCGTCGATTTTAAAATCGTCTGCTTTTTCATGTTCTTCGCATCCATAGGCATGTCTCGTTTGGTTCGTTCCGAATTGGCTGTTGCGTAATGAGCACCATTGATAATTGAACGGAATGCCGAGACTGTTGAGAGCCAGGCAGAGTTTCCAGAGATTCCGTATGTAGCAGATGACGATGGAAAGAAGTAATGAGTATCGAAAGGTGGTACAAGGAGGACGGCAATCCTATTACGTTTATTCTTTATCTCTCTTTCACCATCTGCGAAGAGAACGAAAATTAATCACTACACTGACATTTTAACGAAGAGTCTCCAAAGTCATACTTACGACTCTAATGGGTAATCAGGATCGTTTGAATATGTGGATTAATGTTACAAAATTCCATTACTACCATCAAGGGGTATATCCACCAGGGTATACAATCCATCAACGAATCCTACTGTTCAACTTGACCGGTTTCTATGGAGAATGATTGGTCATTGACACCACGTGAAAGTGCCGAGAAAGTAAATTCGAGAACTTAAGGGTATTCGATAAATATAATTGACACTGATTCAGACAGAGGCAATAATAATGGATTTCATCAACTCTCAGATTGTTCATTCTGATGCATGTATGTTGCCGAATTACCAGTAGCCTTCATCTGTCTTAACAACTTGATATTGGATCTCAAGGAAGAGCCATAACGCCAAGTAAAATATGAACTTTGATAAGCAACTCAAAGTCCAAATGAAAGTAGTCATTATTCAAGTTTCTGTCAAGATTCTATTTGTACACGAATTACTTTTTTTTTTGGAACGCCTGTGAATAGAGCTAACGACGTTTTGCCTGTGAAGAAAAATAACGAAGGGTTCCTTTCATACTAAAATCTATAGCCAGGTGTAGACATCCAGGTGCTCTCTTTGGTATTGTGGCAGTAAGTACAGATTTTTGTCAATGATGTAAAATAGGAACAGGCTGTCGTTCGTTCCACGAACCTTACTCGATGGTTCTTCGAGAAAGCTACGACTAAAAATGGTATTAATAATTAGACGTACGTTAGAAATAATTATATATCCAGGGACAAGGATTTCTTTAAAGATTTCTTAAGTACGGGCGCACAGAGAAATAGTCGATTGGAGCCAGGTCAACGTTCAGATGTAGTAAAACGGTAATCTAACGGTATAATCCTTAACTTATTTAAATGTATTTGGAAATTGTACCGAGTACGTATGTTCGCATGCATCTCTCGTACTTCGTACCGAATTATTAAATTTATTGTACATTTTAAAACGGTTCACTTTGGCAATATCATACGTGTATCATGTTACTCTTAATGCTGGCATGTTATACCATATTATTATAACATTACCGAGTGTACACTTTACCATACCCATTAACGATACTGTAGTATATTTCCTTTTTTCATGTAGCACAGGAAGTACCGTAATCACAACCAGCTTTAACCCTCTTTAAGCATTACCTCGGGTATAGTCAAGGTAAATAGTATTGAAGTACTATGAAATGGAACAGTGTGGAGATTAAAATCATACAATTTTAAACTTCCAGCCAGTCGCTTGTTGAACATTTTTAATGTTAAATATTCCTATGCGCGTATAGATTGTACCGGAGCTTAGTCAATTGCTTGACTTCTATAGAATCGCAATAGATGCTTCTGATGTAACAAATGAATACTTGTTTCGATGATACGATCGAATATCCTGTTTTTATTGCAGACGGATTACATATTTCAAGTTGTAACAAGGAGAAGCCTACAGAATTGTTACGCGAGAAATACGTGGCCTTGCCAGGGACGTGATAGGACATTTTAGGTGCCCAGAGTCTGAATAATCAGTGATCGATTAGACAGAATTCTAATTGGAGTAACGTTACATATATTATACTTACAATATTCTCCCTGACGGTGTTGTGGAATAATTGTTCCCGAAGATCCGCGTCATCTTCCATCTTCACCTATTTGTCACACAATCCTTTTTACTGCGTCGAACGAGCTCAGGGTGCAACGACATTTTACATTGAAACTTTTTTTTTTAACGTTACACCATGCCCGATTAGAAACGCGAACCTAACACTGATTTCTCACGTTTGTTTTGATTTGTACGTTTATTGTGCTTTACACTTTTTCTTATATGGTTTTTCTCTTGTAAAACTTATGATTTTCTTTTTTAGGAAAAATTCCGTTTGCACCAAACGATACGCTCTTGTCGTGTTTATGTAGAGCACAACACGACGATCAACCCTCTACCGTGGTTGGCAAGATACTAAACTCGATTTCTATATATTTCACTGTATACGCCATCTGCACTTTTGTCTGTTTTACCAACAGGGCTGTACCCGTAGATAACTGTTTTACTATGGTGCTAACATCTAGAAGAAACATCATCCAACTATTAAATTTTATTAACTGATCAACTGGCACTGTTCTGACACCGAAATAAAATATGTTCTACATATAAACAGTTGATTCCAGTTATAAAAATTAACATTAATTGCTTCCAAATGTTCCTCTAAACAGGTTTATCCATAAAACTATCAAGAATGAAATTATCATCGTTTCCTCATGCTGTGATATACGTAACTATATTGGAAACATATAGATAATTTAGCCAATAATATTATAGCATTGTGCCTGATAAAAGTCGATTTCTGAAATGATATCTTGATAGATACCTTATAAGGGAGAAATAATTTTTCCATTGGAAGTTTGTAATTGTTGAAATACTGCCCACTAATTATTAGTACATGTAGCTTACATGTTAGTTGTAATTTTTCTACTCATTTCAATGTTAAAATATAACACCGCTCTAGATTGAAGCTATGTGTATGGGTAAGAAATTACAATAGGTACGTGACATGTAATATTATGTTTGCTGGGTGTCATTAAAATTTGCTCGTAGGACGACATGGCCTCGTGCTCCGGTATATGGTGTTCAAAAGTGGGGGGACATTCATGGGAGGGCAATCAGGAATCAGCAGAAACGCGAACGTCTGTCATCCGTGATCGGTTGTCCTCTTCGACCTTTTTCATCGTTCGAACAATACCGGATGATTTTCTCCAAAGTGTTTCGACAAGTAAATTGTTGAAAAGGATACAGAAGAAGGTATCAGTAAATGAAATCGAAGTAAAAGAGGTACGATTGAAAAAAGAAATCGGTAGTTCCAGCTGCGCCAAGAATTGGAATGTAAAATCAAGATGGTGGTGGCGGTGGACGGATCGGTGCTCGGTAATGTCACGCACTGTCTTTACTCTGCCCTTCTATTCTTACTGCTGTAATTCAGGTTTGTCATCTTCTGTAAATGCTCATTACTAATGAGTTATTCAAATCATAATATTATGTATAACATTGTCTTGCTACTTGATTATTTATTTCACCATACTTGGTTGGAAATTTGTGATTTGAATTACAAGATTTACAACAATAACGCTACCTGTGGAATTTCAAGGAAACATAAATCTTGTTATATTGCATTGCTTGTATTTTATTTTTTTTACAGAACAGAGAATGGAATGGATGGATCGTGTCCCTTACTCCTTTCTACATTCGGAGAGCAGAGTAGCTCTGACCGAGCAATTGGATATCTGGCACAGAAATTGGCCTTATACAGACCTGGATCCGATACTGTGGATTTGGGCTATCACACCCTTGATAATAATGCTTGTCATTCAGCATCTTCTCCAACAGTGGTTACTGTCTCTGTTAAGCAACAATTGCCCCAGCAACAAAAGCGTATATATATTCCAGGTCTATGTCAGTTAGACGATGAAATTCTTATTAAAATATTTGGATGGTTAGGTACAAGAGACCGATGTGCTTTAGCACAAACATGTCATCGTCTATGGGAAATTGCGTGGCATCCCTCCCTCTGGAAGGAAGTGGAAATCCGATATCCTCAGAATGCATCTGCAGCATTGAATGCATTGACACGTAGAGGATGTCATTCTTGCATACGTCGTCTTGTCCTAGAAAGTTCTACAGGTGTACCCAATGTACTTGCATCACTTCCATTCTCAAGCTTAACAACCTTGGTTCTACGTCACTCTCGCCGGGTTACTGATGACAGTGTAGCCGCCATCCTGAATAACTGCTCTCATCTTAAGGAATTAGACCTCACTGGTTGCTCCGAAGTGACCAGAGCATACTGTCGGATAGCAACCTTGCAGCTTCAATCATTGGACCTTAGTGATTGTCACAGTGTAGATGACTCAGGACTCATACTTACACTGTCTCGAATGCCACATCTTGCTTGTCTTTACCTACGAAGATGCGCACGTATTACAGATACTAGCTTAGTAGCTATTGCTCTGTACTGCACGACATTACGTCAACTTTCTGTCTCTGACTGTGTCAGAGTAACAGATTACGGAGTTCGTGAACTTGCTGCTCATCTTGGCCCATCCCTTCGGTATCTGTCTGTTGGAAAATGTGACAGAGTCTCTGATGCAGGCCTCCTAGTTGTTGCTAGACACTGCTACAAGCTAAGATATTTGAATGCAAGAGGATGTGAAGCCGTAAGTGATAGTGCTACACTTGCTCTAGCTCGTGGCTGTCCAAGAATGAGGGCTTTGGACTTGGGAAAATGTGATGTTGGAGATGCCACTCTCGAAGCTCTTTCTACTGGCTGTCCTAACTTGAAGAAGCTATCCTTATGCGGTTGCGACAGAATCACAGACGCCGGTCTCGAAGCTCTTGCTTATTATGTACGTGGTTTACGTCAGTTGAATATCGGCGAATGTCCTCGAGTTACCTGCGTTGGTTACAGGGCGGTAAAGCGTTACTGTCGGCGATGCGTTATCGAGCATACTAACCCTGGTTTTTCTAGCTGATCCTTGCCGACATTCTCCAACTATTTGCTACTCTATTACATCTTTTATTGAAATCTATTTATTAACAAATGTTCTTCCATCGTTCGCCGAGCTATTTGTAAAAAGCGCAAGCGCCCTTCGATTGGCTGTAAAAGTTGCCACAGTGCCGTTGGATCCTTTAAGGAATTCAAATGCTATTTATTGTTTTTGTAATTTAATAAATAACGTTATAACAATTATATTGTTCTTTATCATGAAACTATTCATTCTATTATCTAACAATACAAAATCTATCAAGTCTTCATTCATATAGATACTCTATTGAAGTACACGAATAAATACAAAAATGTCAGACTCCTCCGGCACAGTCCTATATGTATATGTATATGTGCATACCGGTGATGAATCAAAAATTTGAACGACGTGGTGCTACGCTAGTCGTAGAGAACTTTCATAAAACACTTATTTTCATCAGTCGTGATCATCAGTTTTAAACAACGCGGATTACAAGCTGGGTCGTTCTTTAATGTCAAATAAAAATTGCAAAAAGAGTGAATCAAAAAGACAAATATGAGGCCCTATCAAAGACGACAGCAAGCTGTGGATTATGGCATTTATTTGCTGTTTATGCAGGCCTTCAATTTTGGAATAAATAAAATTCCACCTGCCACACTTATTGGAGTTATAGGACAGGTAATTTGATATTTCCACATTCCTTGGTTGTACAGGTTAATTTAGTCTTGTGCTTTTACTCTAGTTTAAATTTGTTTGAAATAATTTTATCACATCTTTTTGTCACATTATCTGTCAGGATTAAATAATAAATATCATACAATGTCACACTTTGAATTTTATACAATTATCTGTTTTGGGTTCCAGGCATTATTGTACATGGGAATGATAAAAGTTCCATGGAATGCAGAGGAAGTATGCATATCATCATTGAAAATCTTTCGAGATCGAGACTGGCGATCCTTCATTGTCTCAAACTTCGAACATGGGTCAGATATGCATCTATATTATAATATGATTTCCTTCATTATGAAAGGATCTTACCTCGAACCAATGTATGGTACTACAAATTTTGCATTGCTGGTAGGAATATTGAGTTTGGCATGTAGTGCTATGTATGTTTCTTTGGGTTATATCCTCATGCAAATTACTGAAGATTATGCATATTATACTGCGTGTGCCATTGGGTTCTCTGCAGTTTTGTTTGCATTAAAAGTAATCCAAGTTTGTGAAGAAAGCGACAGGTTACAAGATGTTGGAGGTTTTACAGTTCCTAGTAAAGTTTCCTTCTGGGTGGAACTTGTTTTAATTCATATACTAGTACCAAATTCCTCGTTTACTGGACATCTCGGAGGAATTTTAGTTGGCTGCTTGTATTGTTACACTAGAATAGGGGAAATAGTAGATAACATCATTTATACTATTACTGGATTCCCTATTGTACATGAAGAACGATTTTATAGACGACGTATACTCTTCTAATTTGACTATCAATGAAGTTTACTAGTTTTTCAATATTATTAAAAAAAAGAGAAGAATCCTTTTGTCTTCTGAAATGCAATGTGGTACATATGCATGCCTGCATTTTAAATGTAACTCTTATATGCAAAACTCATTCTCTGACATACGTTGTATAATATTACATAACTTAGACTATAATTATAAATTATAACATATTGTAAATCTATTCTTATAAAAAATTTTATTTTCGTTAAATCTCCTTCCAAACTTCTATACATAAACCTAACCTAACGAAGATTATAGTCAGGAATTGTTAGGTATAAATATTCACAGGAACGTTCGATCATCGTAGAATTAAAACGAATTGAGAAAGAAGCGTTTAAAAAACTAATCTGTTTTGAGAAGCGTATGAAGTTTATAAAGCGTGATGTCTGGTATGTCCGAGTTGGAGTCAAGGAAAATATGCGATAATGATTCCACTAAAACAAAAAAAAAATATTAATCGATCATTTTAGTTGTATCAAGCTCCAATTTTTTCATAATTCACTTGTACTAACCCATCATTTTGTAATTCACTTGATAGGGCATATCATAAAATATTAAATAAGCACTTAATTTTCCAAGTGCCAATGTGTCTGCATTAACCATGCCAGTGGTCAGATATTGTTTTACTAACGGTCTCAGATCTGCAAATTACAGTTGCTTTAGATGTTTAATACTAAACAAAAAAATGTTCCTACCTTGTTCCCAAGTATCCATAATCAATGCAGTTCTCTGCGTTAATGCTAGTACACTTTCAGTACTCAGCAGTGGATTAGATCTCTCCAAATAATTAGATCGCAATACTTGAGAGGCAATAAGTTTTATCTGCCAGACCAGATAAGTGCTTGGTCGCCTTTCAATGACTTCAATACTTTTAAATAAATTGATCCACAACGGCAGCAGACTGACCTTGTCCTTAACCACGCATTCATAAACAATTATAGCAAATGTCTGCAGGAAATGCTTTTCCATTTGAGTCATTTCCTCAGTATCTTCAGATGTGTTTGATAAAGATTGTTTTCTCTTTGTCGGAGAAGTTTCTCCAATTTCCATTTTCTGACTGGTAGACACATCAGTCTGCTCAAAAGAGTATCCAGCAGCTCGTTCTAGACTCTCATTTAGATTCGGATTTGTATAATTTGAACTGAATTTACTTCGAATTCCACGTGACTGGGTATTTATACATGTGTCTTTCTTCGACTTCTCTTTAGCAAGTCCTTGCAAAAAGTACTTTACGATATTTAATACAGTCTTATCATTCGTAAAGGAGGTAACGTGTTCCGGTCGAGCAGCCCAAGTTATAACATTTTCTGTAGTAAGAGTTTGTGCTACAAGACTTCTAAAGCCATGAGGATCTTCTTGATAAGATAAACAACCAGCACGTTGTTTAACATTTAAGGATTTGCATTTCTTAAGCATTCCTTCCAATTGTTGCCAATTGTGCCCTCGCTCAAAAACAATGTCCCAATACCGATCATCTTTTAATTCAACTCTTTTGAGACTGTCTAGCTGAGGCAACAAACAAGGCGCTCTCAGAAGAATATCTTGTCCACTTGCTAGTTTGTTTGTTTGGAAAGTGAGATGTACAGTAGCATAACATCTATTAGCTGTATCAATGTCTCTGGGCAGCAGTAAACGAGGTTCAGCAGCAAGTACATATAAATGTCTTAAGGCCTGAAGATGATACCTGTATAATTAATATATTAGTTATCTAGAAGAATTATTTTTACATATAACTTACCTATTGTCATTGCTGTGGGTCGGAAACTTGGGGAACAAAGAAATTATAAGAGCAGCCACGGCACTTGGGCTATTTGAAAGAGTATATCTTCCACCACCAAGGAATAAAAGTCCAAGAGCCATATGAGTTGCTAAATGAGAACCATAAGTGACGACGCTACTAGCAGGTCCAACACGCGTCCTCACGTGTCTACAAATTCTCATAATTTCGAGATCACCTGTACCAGCCATAACCACAGCGGTAGATAATAGAATAACATTTAGACACGTTTCTATAGTAGATTTTCCAGCTAATTCAGCTATTGATTTGTGCGACAATGCAGTAAACATTTGGGCATAATTATACAGAGTTTTAAATGCATTCTTGTTAGCCGTTCCAGCATATTTCAAACCTAGTGCCATACAGGCACCTGCTATTATGTTACAGTACGCCTGACTGCACAATAAAAAGTAATTAAAATTGACAATCTTGGTTGTTTAATATAATTATAAAGTTTGTATTCTTACTTCATAGTTTCCAAATCCACATTTTGCAATATCTCTGGCGTTGGTTTCTGTAATCTGTACTTATATACGATTTCCGGTACATGACTAGATACCCAGGTCTTTGTCGGTTCGATTTCATCCCACAATATCAAGGATTTAGCCAATATCCTTAGAAGCAAAAGATCCGGCCTAACAAAGTCTAACAAAAATTGTGTTGCCGGCGCACGCATCCATTCGGCAACTGCACGATTTCCTGTATTGAAATACATAAGACCCAGAGCAATCGTTGCACCAGGACTTGTAACGTCGATATTTATCGAGTCACCCTCTCGTATCTGATAACTAGAATTATAAAAATGTTCATAAATAATTTAATTTAAGTGACAGATTTGATTGAGATAAACATTATCGTTACCTAGGTGACTTGTACTTGTCTTTCTGTGCTCCAGTAAAAGGTCTCACGTTACCACCTACCATATAATAGTGTAACGTATCAGGAATACTAGATAAATCTGAACCACCTCCAGAACCCAAAACGACTAAACCCAAAGCCATTCCTGCGGCTAAGGAGTACGATTCTCGATCCACGCAATTTTTCATCTCTGGTCCAGGTGGTCTACCTATGATTAAAATAATTAATAGAATTAGTATAATGATTGATCCTTGCCAAATAATTATTAAAATCAATGATATTAAGATTTAATAAGATATACCAATCTCTGAGAGTAAAGCATGAGCAATGTGCCTGTGAGAAGTTCCTTGATAAACTAATCCAACTCCCATTAATGCTGCTACTTGAACGTTTTGCGGAACATTCAATTCTATACTAGTAGGTGGTAGTAAAGTCTCCACATGTAACGACAACAACTTTGTCATCGCCACATCCATAGTAGCCCTATGAGTAGCTGACAATCCTAATAGAAGACCCACACTCGTTACTTCATGGCATTCTACCAGGTACTCGTAGAGATTGAAAGGTGCCAGATTCTTGAGATGTCCATTGAGACCCAGTGCCATCAATAACCCTGAATGTTCTATGCTGAACTCGCCCTGTTGCTGTTTATTATAAACAATCCAAGTTGAATCAATATTCGAAGCATCTGGATGAATTCGAAGTCCGGCTGCTACGCCATTATGAAACAGAGGCCAGAGATTCATATTAGGAGGAACGTCGATGTGCGCTAATTCAACTGTAGTCCCACGAGGAGGTGCTTTCCCAGTTAAGCAAAGTCGAGGAACAGGTAATTGTTCAGTAATAATAGGCGTGGAGGTTCTCAGAGTGAACATTCCTCTGGCTACAGGAAGTGCCATGGTTCTTGTGCACAGAGCATGTAGATGTCTTTCCTGTTCCTCTATAAATTCATGATCGCTGACATCCGGTCTTTGGACTATGGCTATTTTAACTGGCTTAGAAGAATTTAATAGTCGTCTCACTTCCGCTACTCTGTGATCCTTGTTGAATCTCAACTTCAATATCTGCAAAACGGATGTGTTGACTCAATGATTTAAAAAAGACAGAGTTTCACTCACAGAATCATCGAATTCCATTCCGTCATCCTGTTCTGGATCTTTTATTAGATAACTCTTTCCATCGTTATCTTCGCCATGACTTTGTTCAAGGGGTAAAGAGTGTCCGTCCAAAGCAGCTAAATCCTGACGATCCACGAGCTCATAGACATGAGCTGGCCAGTTAGGTGGTGGCCTTTCCCTACATCTATGCATTATGTCTTTGAAGAGAAGTGATATTCCTGGTGGTAAGATCTCCAGATCCTTTTTCTTCATACCTGAAAAACGATGAGTTCTTTATTGAAATTCAGTATCATCACTGGCAATTGTTCATAGATGAAAAATTCATTCGTACCCATTTCATGGTAAAGTAAAACTATTCTTTCTGCTGAAGGATTTTCCAATTTTCGTAACACTTCCTTATCGTGTCTGAAGCCAACTTCTTGTGGATCAACACGACTACCCGCGGGTATAATTAATTTCACAAATTTATCTATTTCTACAGCTGAAGTATTTCCCTCTTGTGCAATAAGTGCAACGAGTTGCACTACGTTCCTTGTTCTTGGATTCACTTGATTGAGATAAGGATATGAACCAACGTTTATACCGTTCAACAACTTATTGAGTGTTTCGAAAATATTCGGTGGTTTCATTGGCATGTAATTTGGTGGTACTAATTTCTGTAAGTCTGTCGTATTCATTTGTGACTGGGTAAGCATTGCTTGACAAATCGATGGGAAGTCCAAGAAGTAGTGACGAGAGTACATGTCAAATTTCAGATCTGTACTAAGGTGATGCAATAATTGTGCCAATAGTGGCAAACTTTCAGACATTATGCAATTTAATTTCAATTCCTCGTACAATAAATGCAAGGAAAAGAGTACCAATGGAATATATGGGAAAAGTATGGCTTGTGAATTGATTTTGCCTAAACTATTTGGTACCATATTTTTAGTAATACATTCAGTTGTATCGAAGCTATTTGTTAGTTTTGTTAATCCAAGAACGTCTGATACAAACGGTTGTGAGCTTTTGTGCTCGACAGAATCAAGTGTATAAAGCCAATCCTCGTTTGAACCATTCGAACTTGTCTTTTGTTTCTTAGGCACAACAATAGGACTGTTGCGTTCAGTCAACTGGTCCTTGTCATTATTCTGAATAAGTTCAAGCTTGTCTACATCATAACCAAGTAGACTAAACAAAACTACCAGAAACAAATGCCATTCTTGTATAGGAGCAAAGTCTTGCGGTCCTGGTGCATTTCTGGCTCCGTACCATTTTACTAGTAACTGCATAGCTAGATCACGCTGAAGTACACTTCGCAGGGTTTGCAAACATTTTGTAACTAAAAAATATTGTATGCTGTCATAAAGTTGATTCATTTTTTTTAAATTACTATATATCGCAGTATATTTACCTAGTGGAGACGTGCTGGAAGCTGGTAATGTGATTCTAAAATAATTTTTGTTTCCATACTCTAAAGTCACCTTATTTTTTACTGCATCTTTTAAACCTTGAAGACTTCCATCTATTATGGTGTTCTCCAACAGGATAGGAGGTCTACCGCATGTTCCACTAACGGGACTTAACATATGTAAACCCTCTTCAAATTTGATTTCATGAGACGTATGATAATGTTGTGAAATCAAAGAGCTTCTACGAGGAAATGGTGAACCGAGTTTCTGACCGATGTTTGCTAAGAAATAATTATTCCCTATAAGGGTTGGTAAGACTCCTGATATATGAACCTTTCCCACGCATGTAACACCCGAATATAACGTCACGCCGTTTGATAGATCCATTGTGGCAATCATATGTAATGTCTGACGAAGATAAATAAATATTAAATACTCATGAGTATTAGTGAGATTATCTTATGTAATATTACTCACCGGTAAACTGACAGCATCTTTAGCTATTATACTAGTCACCATGCCAAAAATTATTTGTTGCTTCTTGTTAGCCTTTTCAAGTCTCACGAGAAAGAGTTGTGATCTATTTGATATCAGGTATCCTAAGTAACTCTGGCCAACGAGATCAGACGTTAACAGTACTTTGGAGGCTTTACCGGACACTACATCCCTTAAAAACGAAAAAATGGTTAACTTAATATTTTTACTAAGCTACTGAGTAATGGGATTGAGCATTTAAAATACAGGAATAGAGAATAATTATGAAACCTTGGAAAAAATGTTTTAAAGTTTATTACTTACTTTGGAACGCCTGTATTCTCAGTCCATACATGATCCAAACAAATCTCTGGATATAATGGTCTACTGGGACAATTCATCACATCCTGGAATTGGATACTATTACAACTAGCACCAAGACTGTTTTGCGATTGCCCCACTATTGTAGTCATCACTGCATGGTGTAGTCTAGTTTGATGTAGAGAAGGACCACCGGAAACTCCTAGAAGAGGTGAAAATGCTGGATGGGTTGGTGATTGACATCGGGAAATGGTAGCCATAGGACTGTGGGAGCGAGAATGTTGTTGCTGTTGTTGCTGCGACGGTGAAGCTCCACCGCCCGAACATGTCGTCGTATAAGAAGTGCCTCGTGAACCGAATGGACTATTGTTTAATCCTATGCCTAATCCTATGCCAATATTACTCAATTGTAAGTTTGGCACCCCTAGAAATTGAAAAGCGTGCAAATAGTTGATATTCGTGATTAGTTTGAATCGTTAGAGGATTTTTGTTGTAATCTTACCAAATAGACTGAGCTGTGTTTTATTAGGATGACTCTTGTTGATGGAAATATTATTAGTGACGCTTAGTGGTGATGCACTTGTTGAATGATTAAAGATACTAGGAGTAGTATCATTACTTCCACAGACTATTTGACATTCCTCAGCTAGAGCTTTGCGTATTTTATAAACTGAATGCAACCCAGTTTTTGTATCGTACACTACAGCAAGGGAAGGTTCGGAGCTGGTAAATACGATTTGCTGATTCGATTCGCACATGTATGAAATATTACCTATAAACATTACCGACTGTTATAGTAGTTTCTTAACATTCTGGAACTTTGTGAATTACGTAAACCGTACCATGTTTCATGAGCAGAGGGCAGATTTCATCTAAAGGATGCATAAGAGAAAAAGCCACTGGTAAATGGCTTTCGTTCTGTAAAGCCAATCTGTTTGCTTCCAAAGATGCGTACCTATTTAAATTGTACGCTTTTAATAAGATGTTATATTTATGTATGATATGTGCTAATACCAGTACCTTGATACTGTAATTGGAACTTGAGATTTTTCCAGCAATATTCCATACTTTGTAGGCCATACAGCGGAGACCTAATTTGGACAAATTAAGAGTTTAATTCTCTTTGATTATCGTGATAAATGTTTTTAGTCAAGAAATATAATTTATATACTTGAAACTGTAAACTGGAAACATAATCCTCCCCGGACTCTGTGAATACTTTTAGTGTATATGAATCTATGAGACAAATAGATTCGATTGTCTTTTCAAGGGGCTCATTATTTTCAAAATCTTTGCCTTTTGATAACTGATTAGGCGTTGTTGTGTGGAAGGTGCACCAGAGTGCATGTTTAATATCCGTTTCGCAGGTATAAGAGGTTTGAAGCACTCTGCTGGATCTGTCACCTTTTGAGTGAACAGCAACTTTACCCGAACAGTAAAGTTCTTCTTCGCCACAAGCATCATTGTCTCTCACAAGCCAGAATTCTGTCTAAAATTACAGAATTGACAAAAATACTTTCAACGTATGATGAGGCACATATAAGCTCAATGCGAAAGAGTAGATTTCGAAAAACTAGTCTTACTGGTGATCTTTCCGATATGTTAACTTGGCTAAACTTCTGTAGAAGAACGCTATCTCCTGCTACTGAGCGATTATGTGGTGACTGTTGACTGATCACAGATCCAGGATGCCTCAAAACCGTCTGACGTCCACCTGGTATATATTCCTTAGAAAAAATAACAGTTACTAATATTGAACTGGGGCCATAACCTCAAAATCATCGTACCAGCGGGTCTGAGGCGGCAATCATTTTCTCCCTAGTTTCATCCAGATTTGCTGAGTATATTTATTGAAAGTTTTAAGGATATACGGACGACCGTAAGACGCACTGAAAGAGCACGTATTAATATGATGTAAGGGTAATTCTTTGGCACGTTTAACAATACACAATCATGGGAGTCGCCATATTAAAAAGACGCAGATGTCTCTGACATGACAAGAATAAAGCAAGATTAATTTATTCGAAAACAGCCACTGTTAACATAGATTTACTTTCGCTCTTTCACATTAATTATAACTGTTGTCTATAAATAAATTAATCCGCACTAATAATTTTAAAAGATCAATATAAAAATTCTATTTTATTTCAAGAACAAAGATTGGATTTGAAACAACAAAGACATAAATGATAAGGCTTTTTGGAATTTTTTATTTTTAATATAAATAGACATATTAAATGAATGGTAGACAATATAAATATTACAATTATTAATAATTAGATAATATTGGTTTTAAGCTGCTAAACATGTGCTATTTCGTTAATGCAATCTCGTCGACGCATAATCTTTCCGGTTTTGGTATTCAGATGACAAAGAATAATATATTTATCCTTGAAGTTTTCATTCACATTCTTGATGTTAAGATTTCACGAAGCCTTCGAAATGCTGCCAGTAGAGTGTCGCCATGAATTTTTTGCGTAAAGCAAAAACACGGTAGGCCTCGTTAATATTTCATATCGAAATTTCCAGATGTTGAGAAGTTACTTTTGCACACATTAATCCAATGCTCGGTCGCATACTGCTTATCACAGTTAGGCTAAACCACTTAAATTAAATAAAGATACTCCTTTCTTTAGAAGAACAAGTTCGCATTCTGAATTTGCTACAATATTGCATATCGTATTAAGGTTGTCATATCATACGCGTCTCACCAGAATTGGAAAACTGAACGGCAGACGTATGTTCTCCAAGATTTTACAGTTTTATTTTACCAAAGCGTACATATTTACAAATATTTTGCAAAATCGCTACGGCCTCTGAACAATTCGGTAGTGTTTTTTTTTCTGATTCTTTTTCGTCTTTTCTTTAAATTAAACAGTATTTTAAATATAGCAACTCCATCTTGTTCTTTTCACTTAAATATACGCTTCGTCGGTCTATCATATACTAATAGAACCATACGCAGTATCAAAAGGGAGAAAGGAAAAAGAAATATCGATGTAGTTTTAACTTAAATATCGCGTGGATGGATCACCGCTCGATCCTTAATTTACGATTAGAGAAAGAAAAAACGACAGCGACTAATCACGTTTCGACGATCCTGAGCAATTGCTTATCGTCTTGCGGCTTTTCATTTAATCATTACTACGGGTAGCGAGAAAGAGGAAGTTTTTACCTATTCTGAATAATGCGTCGTTAAAAATACACGCAATGTTGATTTTTTCGTCACCTTTTTTAACTGATACCAATTACAACGTAAAAAAGTCCTGTCCTGGACTCAAAATCCTCTTAATGCATAGCACAAATCAATAGAAACTGGGGCGATTAAAGCGTTATAAATATATGGTTAATGCGGTACGTGCGAGTGTTGTGCCGAGCATTGTTCGTGTGTTCTGTTTACAATTATTCGATATATCGGATTAATTATTTCGAAAATTAGGCTCAGAATGTTTTACGATGAACCGCCCTGGAACCTTCTTCGTCATATTCGCGCTTGTTCACCCACATCTTCTTGAATGTATCCAAGGAAGCCAAGATTGAGCCTCCTATCCAGGTACTGTATAAGCGCTCTTGAGGAGCGGATATCTGGTATAGAATAATATATAGTTACAGAAAATGTATTGGAAAGTAGTTGAAAATTGCGAGTGACAAACTGATGTTATATAGAATGATAACGATTTTAATAAGTAGTTAGATTATAATGTGACTTACCCTGATTTTAATGTCTTTCGGTGACATCTTTCGAATCTCAGAGAGTAACCTATCGCCAAATCCCTGAAAACAGTTTGAAATTTACATTTTATACTATCAAAGTTTGCTGTAATATATATTTTATGTATTGCAACTTACACGGAAGAGTGTCGAGCCTCCTGACAGTACAATATTTTGGAAAAGAACTTTCCTCAGATCCAAATCAGACTTCTGAATCGAGTACATTAGTACTTCGTGAAGTCCTTCACATTCTTCACCTATAAGATCAGGTCTGAAAAGCACCTCAGGCGCTCTAAACCTGGCTGGACCAATCTATATTAAAAAAAGTAAATATTATCTATATCTTCGAGCAGAAATTTATAATAATGGAACAATTACCTCAAGATGACTGCCATCCGGTAGAGTATACTGGAATTTTTCTGTTTCAACAGTCTCCTCCTTTTGCGGATTACTGGCAAGATAACAAGAACGTTCTTTCATCGTTCTAACAATTTCAAACTCTGCTGTGGTTCTGAAATTAATGCCCTCCTTGCGCAGCAATAATCGCAAATATCGTGTAACATCACGGCCTGCTATGTCCACCCTCATTATACTGTGAGGCATTGCAAAACCTTCATAAATGGGTACTGCATGCGTGACACCATCTCCAGAATCTAGTACAACACCAGTTGTTCTACCAGTAGCATATCTATTTGATAACAATGGACAATGACAAACTTATATTGCCCATGAAATTATATAGCTTCACCATTATTCATGAATAAGCCATGGCAATAACTTACAAACTAAGTACAGCTTGCATAGATACAAATAGAGCTGGCACATTCAACGATTCGAAGAAGATCTCTGCTGCTTTCTCTCGATTTTTCCTAGGATTAAGTGGGGCCTCAGTCAAGAGTACAGGATGTTCTTCGCTAAATGTGGCCAGTTGATCTTTACTATAAATGTATGACCAAATTCTTTCCATATCATTCCAATCCGTGACAATACCATGTTCCATTGGATAACGTAAAGATAAAAGGCCACGGTGTTCTTCGGCTATGGGACCAACAAATATGTCCCCCTCCAAGGCACCAGCCATTACCCGAACATGCTTTGGTCTTCCCATGCTAAACACAATAATTAAAATCAGCATGATTTTGTTTTTCGTCTAAAAAGTGTAGAATGTTTCTTTTATCCTCGTACGTAATATTCTGAGTCATGAGTAATCAAAGATTCAAACTTAAGCGGCCGAATTGAAAATTGGCAGCCCTGTAGTCGCCACCTGTCAATAACCTCCAAAACGGAAGATGTCTCATAGCGAATTTTAATTAGATGTTACGACCTGTCACACTTACTAATTCGGAAATCTGCATTTCGGTATTTGGTCGCCCGCGAAGCCTGCTTTAATTACGCCGGAACCCTGTAAAATTAATATAATCCACGTGTAACGACACCCTTATTGATTTTATGCTAGTGAGTCTTTGCATAAGATAGGTAACTGCAAATAAGCTAATGCCAATAATGCTAGTGGTCTTTTCGTTTAAGGGCATTTGTAGAAAATAAAGACAAATACTGCATAATTTTATGTAAAGATAAGTAGCTCAAATCTTAAGAAATTTATATCTATTTTCTCTGTACTCTGCTGCCGACAATATGGCCGCTTTCATTTTGACACATTGAAGATACCGTAGAAATTGACGTTTTTCTACTATTCTCATAACTTTTATCAAACACTCACGTTGTCAATAACCACCGGCTGGTTCACAATCACGTCGTACGGTTCCATTTTTAATAGAAAACTCTTGTCCTTTTTCTAAAAGCTTAGAAAATCGACTCTAGCCTCACAGTTACACACCTATCTCCCAGGTGAGCTGTGAAGGGAGCTGTCATTCCTACAGTAACTCGTTCCCGAATCATAATCGAAGTTAGCGATGCCAACATCCTGGAGCCAAATTTTAAAAGAACGTATTTAATGCCAAGGATAATTATGGATCATTATTAACGTAAGAATGTATTCGTATTCAATCAAAATCTCGCTAACATATTCTTAAGATAACTATGCTAGATTGCAATGCTTAGTTCAATTAAACATGTCATACAAATTTGACACTGGAATTCTTTTAACAAAGTTTTAAAATTTGGCAGTATTCTACTGATAGATGTCAACGATTTTTTTGTGGCTATTAACAGAGAGAGAGAGAGAGAAACGGGAATGGAAATGATGTAAGTCTTGTTAAAAATATGTACTTTTTATTAGATCCGGTGTATAGAGTCGTATTACAAGAGTAGAATAATGTCTGATGGATAAATACGTATAACATAGTAGCTTGACGCTACAAGAAAATTTTTAACGCGTCACAGCCAGAATTCGAAGGTTCATAATCTATTTATATGAATACAGAGTTCGCATTGTTAATTATGTTAAATGCGAATTACAATTATAATAATCCGATTGCCAAGGCGTTTGAAAACGAAATTTCGACCTCGAGCAAAGCGCTTGTGAACGAAATCTCGATATGCTTTTTTTTTTAAGTTTCCAACACGAACCTTTCCCAATAGACACTTGGGTGTTTAAAAAAAAATCTAAAGAGTTTAAAACTTGGCCAAAAGTTGCACGCCAGTCAAAAGAAAACAAGAAAAATTCTATTATCTAGATTCCTTTAATAATACATACTATTAAACAGAAAATTTTAATTGTGATAGAATACTTCAATCGTTTAAAAACTGTATGTATTCTGCAAATTGGTTGCTAGTTGTCTATTCTTCTATCCTTTAAACATTTCATTGATTTGTTAATCTACTCTGCTATAATAAGTTATGCAATAATCTTATGGAAAAGATTGTATCTTTATATGAATTGTTATATGAGAATTGTTAAACAATTGTATGCAGAATATTTATATGTCAATCGTCACGTTTTAACAAGTGGCTCTATGCAGTTTACTATTTTATATTTATGTATAAAGGTAGTTCTTGCCTTTGGTTCGGCATTAACCTGAAGTATATACTTCAAACTAATATTCCTCCCTTTGTGGAATCTCTTTAAAAAATGCTTTTGGTAAATGCATTTATGAATACTAGCAGGGTATTATATGATATTCAATTTTAACTAGTTGAACGAACATTATGTTCATTGAAAGGATTATTAAGAGCTGTTGGTTTGTTATTACCAAATACTATTTCAAGTACACATCATAAATGATCAATAATCACTAATCAATCTTAAATACCCTTGTGAAACGGTATTTATAAAATATACCGCTGAATTTGAAACTGGTCATCGAAGTAATTATTACGCGAATCACTTCTATCATTATCATGAAAGCTCCAATTTCACTCGATTGCGATGTCTTAATATATTTCCGCCATTAGTAAAACAGTTAAAGACGTCCAGCCGGTGAAAGGATGACTACCTTGGCCATCTCCATGACTGTCACCATAATTCTCCCAAATATATCCTGATCTTTTATATTTAGAAATAACATTTCTTATGAGGTTCTGCCTTAAATCCGTGTAAATCTTCTTAGCTTTATCCTGATAAGGTCCTTCAATCTTTGAGTAATGATGCAAGGCTCTCACTGTTAAATAATTCAAATTCATCCAAATAGCTCCACGCCAATACGGTGCATCGTGTTCCGTATTATATTGCATATATAGTGGTGAGGTTTTGGACAGAGATCTTAATCCATATTTGGTCCAAAGTAAATCCGGCTTAGTCAAATCATCCAAGATTTTTTCCAACTGTGGAGAGTCTGACTGGACGATTTGGAGAACAAAGGGAAATAGTGAGACATATCCAAAGGTGGTATCCACGTACCTCAGCATAGGATCACCAAGAACTACTCTTAGCATTTCTGAAGTTGGTGCATGAGACCGGGGTGGTGGGGTTGGTCTTCTTAGAACAACTTTATCTGTATGTAACCCATAATCACAGTAACTTTGACTACTCTGAGACCAGTGCAGTTTATTAAGTAATTCATTATCCGATAAGTAGTTGAAGGTATCCAAGTATTTACAACTGGGTTGATTTAATACTTCAGCTATTTTAGCCATGATTCCTGCTGTAAACGCAATCCAGCATCTAAGATCCACGTGACGTTCATCGATGTTAGGATGTGATGCTCTTGGATAATCATCTAAACCGGATGTCAAAGTCTTTGGATTTAATTCGCGATTCGTCGTGCTATCTCTACCTCGCCAACGATATGTTCCTGGCATATCACCAATCTGGGTTGTATTGAACCAGTCAAACCAGACTTGCAATCTAGGATAAAGCTTCTCTAATAGGTGAAGATGTTTCTCTAATATTTCCTCTCGATGATGTTGAAGTATAAAATGTAATGTTAAGAAAAATGTTGGCGGATTTGCATTTGTGTTCACTTGAGTAACGAATTCTTCTGGCACTTTGGCAAGAGCTTCTTGACCTAGTATCATTTCTCTAGGTATCCAGCCCTCCACGTTCATCAGGTCAAACCAGTGACTTATTATGTCTAACTCGATGTCCAGATCCCAAGCTGATATTAGTAAACCATGAAAACCCTCGTCCCACAAGAATCCTCTAGGGAAAAAGCTTCTACTTGGTACGGCAGTATAAAGAGGAGCTTTCCAGTAAGGCACAGGACCTTTAGTATAGGCACTCTGCACTTGTGAACTCCCATAAAAGTAACCAATAGAACCAATCATATTCGAAAATGCCATTTTAGCGAAAGCAACCTCATCCTCCTTGTAACCTTTGGATCTTAACTTGAAAATTTTCTCGAATTTCTCATCAAACTGTTTACGGTGTTTCTCAAGAGTGTTGTCGTAGTTTTTACTGGCTAATTTTTCAGTACGAGTTACGAAACTGCCAGACTCATAAGTCACTTCGAATTCAAAAGGAATTTTAGCTGTTATTTGAGTTGCTATAAAGTTTGGTTCCATTTCTTTTCCCTCTGCTGTCAAAGGTAACTGCTCCCCAGCCAGTACTATGTGTTTCTTTGACGAACCTTTATGGGATGCAAGTCTTAGGTTTTGTAGTACAGTTTCCTTTAGAACGTGCAGTCCAGGTGCTGCAGTCACCAGGAATGAATGTTCTTCCACACTTCCCCGTATTGGGTTTAGAGCTATCCGGAAAGCACCAAGCCCATTTGTGTCTCCTTCCATGCCAGTTAACTTATTGTCGTTACCGAGAGAAGCTTTGATCCAACCTTTTGTTTTCTCTTCAATTGCAGTATAGAAAATTAGAGAAATTTCTTCTCCATCGCGTTCCTGATTTTCTGATCTTACTCCAATTCTTGCTGACCAGTCTCCTCCATGACTGCCACCTGGTCTCTTTACAAAGCTTGTTTCCAATATAGCCCCACCATCAACTATCTCTTGAACACCAAATGTTTTCCCGTCGTGCTCCAACCATGCATATCTAATATGAAAAAAAGAAATCTAATGTCACAGAATATTTTTAATATTTCACTAGGAGTTGATTTGAAGTAAATATTCACCTATCCAATTTGTCACCCTGTTCACACCAATGTCTAAATCCATGACCACCTTGCCGCAGATAATGTGGGAAGTACCACATCAAGCCTGTTACTATAGAATGAGGATCTCTGGTCTTTAATCCAAAGTAAAGACCAGATCTGTAGGTACCCCAATAACGATCTGGTACTTCTAAACCAGTTTTAGTAACCAGCTGAAAGAAATTAATTTCATATAAGTATTTTAGTTGTTACAAGAATATTTCATCATACCTTTTTGGTATCATATGGAGTGTTTACTCGAGTTTCTAAATAGCCTTTATAACTGAACCATGCTGCTATACCAATACAGGTAATCGTCAAAACAGTATTCAACATTGGGATCCTAAACTTGCTCTCTTTCTTGGAATCTATATTATTGGACACCTTAAGCTTGGATTTTACTGATTTCTCATGTCCTTTGGGTCGAGGCATGACGTCTTATCAGCTGCACATAAGAACAATAATTCTTAAAAATCACTGACTACAAATTTGCTAATACTCTAACCCAGTATTGCAAACTAATCATTACTGATTTTAAAAAAAATGACAGTACAAAATACAATGTATTGATGAAAAACATAATTACGCCACATAAATTATGAAACACAAATATTAACAGTCCTCTGCATAAAGACGAAAGTTTAATGAAATATTGATTTAATGTAAAATTCGCAGGTTATTGTTCAACAAATTTTAAAAACCGGCAAGCCCTTACCGGCACTTTGTTTATATTCTAGCAACAATTCCTTCGTATTTGTCTCTTCGGATCGACATTTATCAAAGTCTACGTGGCATTCAATATTTAAAGAATAAAACAATTCCAATCAGTAACACAGCGATATCCACGTAAGCCTCATGTTTTGTCGTCTGCTCTATGTTGATCCATACGCAAGTCACTGACCCATTTCATCAAGAAAAAATCTTTAAACAAATTTTTAAAAAATAACTACTTATCACTTAACTGATCACAATTTCTAAATCCCACAGGTAAAATTAAAGAGGAATCAGAAAGCCAAATGAAAAAAATACCACAACCGCAAATAAGAAGCTGTTACCGGGCCGAACACGGCGGGAAAAACATTCAAACGTATATTTGGTGAGTTCTATTTAACATTTTTTATATTTAATTATCCAATAGTGTGTATGTTACAAATAAAGCGTTCGCTATTACACAGTAATCATATCTGGGGAAGAACTCACATGATTTAACGTTTAACTCAGATAATATATTAATTCCTAACTAATTAAATTTGGTTGATTAACACGTGTGCCGTGAGTGAGCTGCCTTATACGTTACGTAGAGATCGTCGTATGCAAAGTACATTGCCTTTTTCCTTTTATTAATTAAAAAAAAATTATTCCAATCCATAGAGCTTTACTCCTATGTGATGATTGAATATATATATATATATATATGTATGTATGAAGTCCATCATGTCCTCGCATCCATTTCACATGCGTCGTAGGTCGTACGCGCTTACGCGTATTTGCATGGACTCGTAATAATTCTAAGGCCTTACAATGTAAATATACCTCTAAAAATTTCGTTAAAACAATCGCACGTATATTTATATACAGTAATCGGCAATTGGTTTCGCGCTCTTATAAGATTCGCATGAAATTGTCATCATTTTCGATTTTACGAGAACGAAACTCGCAATAGATTTTTCTTAAAGGTAATTTTTTTTTCAAAATTATCTGAAAAATTAACAATGATCAACATGAATACTCAAGTGCCAAAATTAATTTACGGTGCTTTATAATTTTACTAAATTAGGTCGATTAAAATCGTTGTATGTAACGCGTAACAGGCGTATGACATATGTATTAATGAAAACTACGTGCGTTTTAAAAGCAGTGCTCTTTTCTCTCACTCTCTTTCCCTTCTTCTCCTTTCCTCTCTTCCTTTTTGACGAATCGAGTAATAATTGGGAATAAATCGATAAAGAAAAAACTTTATTTACATAGGAATGTCGCTGGTATCTATGTCCGTTACGATACCATTTGTTATTACGTTTATCTAAAGTCTCTCATATTATATAGTACATACTATGTAATATTTTCATTTTTAATAAATAATGTCGTAGCCTCGTTATCGGTGTAATAATATTATTATTATTATATCATATCTTAACGTTACAGTACGTGAGATTTCTGCGCGACGTCAACTCTGCCATTTGGTCACTCAGATTATTTTCGAAATGATATTCACTCATGAAAATTTGTGATTTCATATGAACTTTGTAAAAACGCAACCTTCCTATTTCATGTACGTCAATGCTGCCGAATAACCTGTGTATGTGCCTATTTTGGATTTATCTTAAGTTTTGAGATAATGAATTTTCAAAATCGAATATCTCTTCTATGTGACTCAGAGTCGACGTCGCCATTTGAGTATTCCCGTAAACACGATTAGCATCGATCTCTAACAATGTGTATAATTCTATGTTATCGTTGAGTTAATAACAAATTCAATAACTAGATCGGTCCGCCTTAGTCGAGGATCAATTAAACGAATCTTTCATCTTAATTCTCTATATCCCCGATTCTCATCAAATGTTTCTATAAATTTTGAATCGTACACCCGACCGCGCGTCCTCTAGTGTATCCTCTTCTAAATCTACATAATAATGTGTCAGATGCATACAATTGAATTAATTACATCTAAACTCACGATAATATGTAATCCCTAAGAATTAGTGACCCCTAAGGATACCTCATTGGGAAATGGCTAAAATAAAATGAAAAATTATTTATCTCATTCACAAGAGTTATCCCCAATAACGGCCGTTCGATTCCGCAATAGGAAAACATGTCTGGTTATTAACTGTGGATGCTGTGTTATTAAAATTTTCATCTAATTAATAGTATCCAATCTCATCCGCAGCTACGGGTATCGCTCGATTGCTATGATTCTTGCAAATATATATGATACACTCTCTACACTTTTATAGTATCTCGTGTGTACTGCGTGTGTATTTATTTCATAAGACGATTGCGTATCGAAGGTAAAGTGTCGATTATCTAATAATAAAATCATTGCTAAGGAATTTACCATCCATGCAGTTCCTAAAGTGAAATTTATCTTGCGTGTCTTTGCATTCATTTCATCGTCTAATCGTTAATCACTTCTATTCTTCTAATATGAGACGAAGCTTGGGAGCATCCAACGAGAGTTCATCTACTCGCAAGGCTTCTTTGCCCATATAGAAATCTTTTATTTTAACCGTATTGATTCTCTCGGATGTTCCCAATTTAAAGTCATGCGTTATTATCTTGCACCGCAGAGTATTACCTCTAAATAACCTCCTGCCCCCGAATGATACCCCAATCCAAAACCTAATACCCATTCCCCTGCTTTACTTTGCTAAATTGGCAGCCCTCCCCTTCTTTCCACGCCACTTGACTAAGCAGTAGAAACTTTGTGGACGCCATTGAATCGTTCTTGAAGAAGATAACATTCCCTTGGAGATAAATCATCAGATACAGTCCAGTTCAGAGCTTTGAGAAAGACGATGAGGCTTTATGACTTGTTTCTTTTATGTGATAAGAGAATATTTAACAATTTCTCAGATGCAGAGAATTCTAATCGAAGCTCTGGAACTTAATGGACTGTAACCGTGAGAACGATTCGATTTCGTCGTTGATTGTGTCGCCTTGACAATGTCTTAGATTAAACTTAGAGCAGCAAATATTGCTTAGAAATTCACCGACTGAAAAATGGACGCTGGATCTGATCCACGTATGGAATTGACAGAGATGGGATTCTTATGATAATCAATTATCGGATACAGACGAGATTCATTGTTACTGATTCTCTTCCCTCTCCTGTTTTTAAATTCGATCCTTCGAGAAACAACCAGTTATCAGAACGATTAATTTGAGATCCCTCCATCTTTTTTGCTCACTTGTGATAAATTGTTAATATCTCAACGCAAGCTGGCAGACTAATCAGCACATTCAAACGTTATGTACCCCTGTTCGTTATTCGTTGTTATTAAACAAAGTATATTATTGATAACAATTCTTTAAAGCCTTAGAAAGAAGTAATTCCAAATGTACGTTATCTTAATAAACTTAGTTTCACTTTACACTGGTTATCTTAATTACAAAAGCTAGAAAGTGGCTGTTTAATAATTCATTGTTTCGATACTGATGTTTTCAAATTATATAATGAGAATTGAATTCAGGGGTACGCGACGTCGATTATTCGTAGTGACTGAACACTTACAAATTTATATTAATGTGCTGGTTGGACTGGCCAGTTGCGCTGATTACGGTTCATTTCCGGAGGCTGTCTTTACTGCTTGCTCGGCTGGTAGATGCAGTACTTGACTCTCCTGGACCTCCGGTACCACCGGCATCCCCATTGATACTGGAACCAGCTAAGGATGCCGTTGGTGTAACGGGTGCGGAACGTCGTCTAACCTTCGTCAGGGTTTTATCCAATCTTTGAACAAAAGCGTCAACGTCTGATCTCTTCATGCCCAAAGCTGCAGCAGCCGTCAGATAGGGGACTGGATAATTACTGTTATGCGCACCCCAACCTGAATATCAACCAGTAGAAAACTTCCTGTAACTCCCATGGACGTAATATATAGGAAATAATAAGTTCAAACTTTTTTACAAACCTTCAAACTTGTGCGAAACAATGTGCTTAGAATCTGTTGTTGTGATAACCCTGGTGCCACTGACACTCCTGAGAAATAACATAGAACCCAGCATTGTCACTTGTTTATTATCATGCTGATGACTCAGACACTGTAGTGTCATACCCATGGAAATTGGATTGCCTTTGGTATCTAAAAGTCTTTCTCCGTGTCTGGCTGCTAGTTTACCAAGTTCCTCCTTCAGGTACGAATAGGTCTCCTTGCGTTGTACAATTAACTGCTTATAACCAGCCATGCCAAGACTGAGCAATGTAATCATGACATCCATTGTGGAACTGGCATTAGCTCGACCTGGATACATCTTTGAGATTCTATCAAGTAAACTCTTGTCGAATGAACCAATTACAGCACCACCGACAGGAACTAGAAAGTTCTTATCTGTACTCTGTACAAAGGCATCTACACGTCCCTTTCTTGAGGCTTCTTGGATGAGATGCATACACCTTGTACTCTGCAATCTTTTAGTTGAAGTATTTTTAGGTTAGCTGTTTAAACTAAAAGAGATTGCTCAAAGGGATTACTCACCCATAGGCATTATTTACCAAGTGTGGAATGTTATACTGAGTACAAAGAGATGCTATGGCGTCTACAGAATCACAAGCTCTTGGTGCGAAGCAACTTGTTGTTGTAAGGACACATGCTACGCTTTCACCTAACGCAGCCATCTGAGCCTCCAGCCTCTGCATATCAGTTTTCAGCTCATCACCAACTATCTGCATCTCTATTACCACAGGCTCCAAACCAGCTGTGATTATTGATTTAAAACTTGATTTCTGATCGATTCTTGGCCACAGAACATACTTTGCTCTTGGTCTGTCTTGTTTCAATGTCAACATACAGAGAACCAGACTCATCCCGGTCGCCATTGGGGAAACAAAACATCCTGCTATGCTCTTTACTCCTAATTTGGTAATAAAAATTGTATCATAATTATCTATTAAAAGAAAATCTTTCTTCTTTCTTACCCATATAGCGGATTACGTCTAGCACCAAGGCGTTTGTTAATTTATACATAAGACTACTTCCAGCAGCCTTTGGCTGGACCTCTTCCAGGTCGCCAGATCTGCCTATACCATGACCCATCCGGAAATGTCTTCGTGCCACAATATTGGATACTATTCTTGCCTCGCGTTCTCCCACGCTGCAATTTGATGGAAAATTGTTGCTGTCCATCTGAGATAAATCTGATAAAAATGCCTCTATCGTTGCGTCGTCCCATCCTTCTTCTGGCCATTTTCGCTGGAAATATAAATACAGAGCAATAAGCTCCTTAGGTAATTTACATCGATTACTTTTTCTACTTCCTATTTGGACGATACTCACGTGCTCGATAAAGTGTCTTATGAGATTTTCGCGTGCCTTCTTCGAATTTAATCCCTGTTGAACGTATGTCGACGGAATCAGCCTCTCTGCCAGGCTAAACGCTTGAGTGTTCATTTTCTTCTTTCTCGCCAAATCTCTTAATGGTTGGGACTTACTGAAGTTTCCAGAGCTGGCGTTTTAAAACACCATCGCTTTAACGATCATCGAAAAATCGTTAAAGACGGTCAATCGATGAAATTAAGTTTAAGATCGAGATGAAATCATCGTTTATTCCGAAAAAGAATCAGTAACTTTTTATCAGATTGTCTACTTATCAATATTATGAAAATTCAAAATTTATAATTTAAGTATATGTATATACAATAATGTTTGAAATAACTAAGGCGATAATATTATTATTGATAATATGTGATTCATGGTGTAATCAAGAATCGAACTCATCTTGAAAATAACGTTACATATGTTTTAAGATTAATTATGTCAATTTTTTAAGTTTTATTAATCGTTGAGATACGGTCAAAACAAGGTCAAATGTTATCACGCGCAGAATGTTAAATTACACGCATAGAAGGCATGTATATAAATTTCCGTGGCGAGAACATTAAGAGGAACCGGCAACAATTATTTTCTAAAAATAGTTCTGTCTGTCATGCAAAGTGTATGTGTCGGCTTCATTATTGTCAATGATTCGAGTATCTTGAAAAAATAAGGCACTCGCGTTTATTTGTTTTTATGCAGGAACTTAAACAAAAAGTTCTTTGCCAATTTATAAGACATTATGATTCAGGAGTGCAATGTGTGTCAAACAAGGTAATCTGATAGAAAAAAATAAAACGGTTTTACGTGAAGTAATAATTTATTTGATAACTTATTTTCAATGTTTCTGAATACATAAAATAAATAATTGCATAATAATATACGTGAACGAACAATCAAATACAAATGTAAGTGCAAACGAGGAATGTAAATTAGATTAACAATGCAGTGTACATTAATTTACATATATGTTGTATGTGATTTATAACTTAAAGGCATAACTTTCAATGTAAATAAGTGTGACGAAAAAGCAGCACATGCAGATTTGTGCAATTGACCGTGACGTAATAAAGATTTATAAAATAATTAATGTGTATAAGACACGTATTGAATATCGGTGATAAAAAAAATGTCGATCAAGTCCTTACATCCGCAATAAATTACAACACGAATAAATTGTTCGCTGTAGTAGAAAAAAGCTCATTAAATTACAAAGGCATATGAAACACAAAGCTCGCTTTAAAATATTATTTCATGGCCTAATAATACTAAGCGATTAAAGCAGTTTATGAAAATTTGAAATCATCACGATAGCGAGAAACGTTAAAGAAAATCGACTTAAAGGTTATGTCCTATCCGTAAATCGGTTTACCGAAATATATATACGATATAGTCAAAAGATCAAAGATAACAGAAGACAAGAAAGCACAACACTATAACAAAAACAAAGTCAACAAGAACGTAGATCCGTTGAAAATTGTAGAAAAATTAAATGATTCGTACGATGATAAAAATGGGCTGGGCCGCGGATACAAAATTGACAAGTATCATCCAAGTGTTGTGACCTCGACAGCGTCTTTGTGTATTCCCGACATGGAAAACCAAGTGTAATTATGCGGAAATGCGAGTAGTAGCAGTGGCAGGATAGAGCCCCGGGTTGCTCGATGTGACTAGCCGTAACCGTGAACAGGCTAGTTTGGAGGTTATGTCGTAGCGAGGTCACCTAAATCGGATTAATTTTACGCAATACTGCCGATGCAACGTAATTGCCACGAGCGTCGAGGGTCTCGAGTCTGCGTTCCTCGAGTCGTCGGCCACGAGATGAACACCACGGGCGTAGGGAGCCTCGTGAGATACGCGAAAATCGGGCTTTTACCTCGGGTTTGCACAGCGTTCGGGCAGCAGCGGACGGACGGGTTTCGTCGCACGGCGCCACGGGCAAACAACTTCTACGGCGCCTTTACGGCTCTCACCTTTCGCGGCGACCACGGCGACGACGACACTTCTTCGCGTCTATCCCGTGCTCCAACAATACGGCAGGTGTATCATTTACGTTAATTATCCATACAACGTATACCCAACTTAAACTGTCACTTGCAACGCGTCCGGTACGCCCGCGCCGATTAATAGATACACCATCCAATAGCACCTAAAAGAATCTACGATTGCATTTCGCGCCGTAGCGTACTTACACTCAATAATATTTGTAGTTTTAGTTTCACGCAAATATTTCAAAAATGCTTATTTCACTTTGACGATCAGCCGTGATTGTTGTAATTACAACTATTACAATGTATTAGGCAAGAGAGAAACGTGTCCTAAAAGATTTGTATTTTATTAATATTGCTGACTTTCCTCTCATTTCACTGTCTATCAATGTACATTCCAAAAACTTCATCCTAATCGTATGTTCAATTTCGTAAAAAAGTGATACACTGTAAAAAATATCTGTTATGTTCGTAAAAAAGAGTAAGTTATTTACGAAACCCAAAATTTGAATTTGATCTATTTACCGCCATTTTTATCTGTAAGTTGGTCTGCCTGCGTGGTTCATTATCCACATTATTAGTTCTACAAATGAACACCAGGGTGTACTGAATGTGGGTTCTCTAAACGTTTGAGATATCTCGTCACTCGCTAGTGCTCCGATGACAGATCACCGACCAATAGGTTACTTTTCAAGGGAGGCAAATCAACTCATTCAAATCACATTTGGGAACTGTGAAGAGTCTTCGTACAAGCAACATAATTGTTAGGTAAATCAACGTCTTCCGCTGACGAATAACAAGCACATTTGAGATTCGTGGTTACTTTGCTGTGCAAGTTTAACGCACGCATTTCATTCACAAAGGTTACAAACACAACGAGAAAACGTTTATCTTTTTTTTTTCAAAGATCACTAATCATCCGATAATTCACAATTACTCATGACCCTCGGTATAAATGATGCTCCAATTGCTGATTATTCGTATATAAATTTATGTGTAATATTAAATTCACAAGAATAGATACCGGATGATGTTCAAAGCGACTGTCTCGATATACTTTTTTTTTTTTTAGAAAAAAAAAACAGTTCTGCATGAGTTAGTTTTACACAAAATATGAATTTTTTCATTTAGGTGATGACCACTGAAAATAAATTATTAAAACACAACATTTTCAATGCAAGATGTTGCTTATATTTTTCAACATCGTGCTTGCTTTATTTACACACTTGCTTCATCACATGACAAAACTTTGATCGTACAGGTATATTTCTTTTTTATCTGAAAATATTGTATGTACACGTAAGCGAAAAAGTTGACAGTTTATGCAGTTAAATAATTTCCTGATTCTAAAACGAAGACAATAAGATATTATGGCCGCCGCCATCTTTCTTAAAGGACTGTTATCGAATTAAATATTTATTTCTGTTGTTACAGATGATCATGGATCTAGAGAATTGCAATTCTCACGACGATCAGTGCAATTCTTATCCCAGCACACCGCAACACGAGGGCGATCAGAGTTATCACAAGAAATGGTACCGACAGGCCAGCCAAAGGTGTGTGCACTCTCGTTTATTCTTAATCTCAATTAGTAAGACTAGACCGTTAACGTTTAAAGGCTATCAAGAGTTTCATTAGATTTGACAGAGTTAACCAGGTCAAAGGCTATTTCATTGAATGAAACGCTTGGCAAGTTGAGCGTCTGATAAAACGTAGTCAGTGATCGTATGAATCAACACAGACATGAATATCATTAACAAGGTACCATTATGCATTAATATAATATTCAAACTCTTTGATTTATACTATAGCAAAAATCTGCTCAACGAGCATATGCCGTAATACTGTGATAAAAACAAACCTGAGTGTTCAAAGGATAAAATTCAGACTCTGATAACATTATCAGACTATCGACTACGTAATAAATTTACGGCTTCATACGATTTTCCATTGTTCATCTAACGGATACTAGATAAGCTTTTTAATTAAAATAATAATTATAATAATGAAATAATAAACTTAAGTTTACTAACGTCATATCCTGACCGATAACTCTCCTCTAGAAAATCCTCCTAAGCTGAACGATTCGCTATCAGAAAAATTCCGCTGAACTCAGAAAGTTGTCAGGGTCGTGCACGCGAAAAGTCGCCTGCTACTCACACATTGTTAAAGGCTCCTCTTTTACGAAAATAGACACTGTTTCTAAAAACACATTACCGATTCAGCACGGTGCACGAGTGTCGTCAACGACTTGTATCCCAGAAAGACTTTTACATCGTTCAGGCTACTAAATCGTAATTGAAATACCTCTTGTGGTAATACGTGGCGAATCACCGAGGATTCAATAGTAGTCCATCTAATGAACGTTATCAAGATAATCTTATCAGACATGATGGACAGATCTTTAGAAAAAAAAAACAATATTTCCATATTGTTACAGGCATTGTTAGAAACTGATCTATGATCACTGAGATACACGCTGTATAAATACTTTGGTCGGGAACGTCAGCATTCAGCAGACCCCCTCGAACTGACCCACGACCTATATGATAAATTTAAACAAATAAAAGATTAAAATACCCCCGAGGAAAAATTTCCAAGTTCACTCTTACGACTCTTTTAAAGGCTACAAATGGAGCTCGAATATTTATTAAATGAATGCTTATGTAAGTCGTATGCAATTTCCATTATATTTCTTTCGTCAGATACTGGCTCTCGTAATCTTTGACATATCCAGTCGCCCAGTGCATCGCTGTATGGTTTTATAAAATTTAATCTCAATCTTCCAATTGAGAATCGCTCAAGTCATAAACCTCGAAAGTCTGCCATGTAGTTTCTAGGTATGTTACTTTTTTCGCGATGCCTCATATACCTAAGAGTTATCTGATTTTTCGTAGAACTCTTGGCTATTTTTAAACGGACCACCATCGCTGCGACATGCAATGGCCTCATGCGTATTACGAGATGGTGGAAAAGTTTTGGATCGAGAAATATAAATGTTTTAAACGTTCACCAGGGGGTACTGCCATACGATTCACAGTCCTTAACCACGTTTAACGTCAATCGGACAACATTATTATGTTACTCTTGACGTTATATTATCAACTTGCAAATGACCTTTGTGGAAGTTGCTAAGTGCTTATCTCGCCTGATGTTTTTCTTGTTTGTTTTAAAAAAAAACATTCACCCAATGTCTTACCAAAACTACGCAACGGAGGAATCGTCATTCGTTCCGTATTTTCCCAAGGAGACGGTCGTGCTTTTAATATATTCCTTGTCGCCTTAATATCGCCTTTCTACGTGACTGTGTGTGTTAGATGCGCAGTATGAATCGCTACGAGAGAAACATGAACGAGGTCGTCGCACCAGTGCACGGTATTGGTAAACCATTTAAGTCTTAACAACTCACAGATAGCGATCTTGCCTATCAGACCTTGTCGGACTAGAAAAAAATTTATATTTTTCAAAAAAAAAAAGTACGAGTAAAAATTCATAAAAAGTATTGCGACACTCCCCGAGAGACTTGAAAAGTCAATATCAAATTTTTCAAAGTACAAAAATCACCCGTGACCCAGGTATACAATTTTCTTCCGCATGTCCAGGACCTGTCACAGACCTATAGGTCCGCTCTAGACCCAAGTACAATCCATTTCGAAATTGTTGAACTTTTTTTTCCCTCCTCAACTGACGACCTGCTGGTTCCGTCTTCTTCCTCCAAGTATAGTTTTGCCACGTGTAAGAGCGGAATGAACGATCGTATTATCTTTGACGGGTGCAGGAAAGAGCGTGAAATTTCCAAAAGACATGAACGTCTTCCCCGAGGAGTCTCTGTATCGCGTGAGCCTAGGCCTTCAATTACCCAGTGTTATGGGACTGACCAACAACGACCGTAGTGAACAAGACCTGGACAGCTTCAACGAGGGCGAGCATCGTGTAAGAACGGACAAGCGTGAAATTGGTCACAGGTAAATAAATGAGATTTTGGACAGTGAGAGACGATTTAAATTATCGAGGGGCGATGGGTGGGGCGATAATGGACGAAGGGAAAAATTTGCAAGAAAATCTCTTTGTTCACAAACACGATGAAAATGGTGGCTACCGACAGGTTCGAAGTTCGACGAGTACGTTTACTCATTGTATCACGTTATATTTGCAAACAACAGCGTTGAAACGCTTACGTCAGCGATGACGGAAAAGTAGCAGCTCCTTCGACAACGAGGAATGACGCAACTGCCCGGTAAAGGGAAACAAGGCAAACGATTCGCGATAACGTGATTATGTTGAAATTGCCCGGGGTGGTGGGTTGTTGATGCCGTTCGATCAAATTTATTTGACTTTATTAAGCGTCTAATAAAATTGATCGGAAATCAATTTGCCTTACGCGTTACGCTTCCTTTCTCTCTCACACCCGCTGGACGTGCAAATATTTCGCGCCGACGGCGAGAACTTTTTTTTTTTTTTTTTTTTTTTT